TCGCAAGTGGCGTTGAACCCGAAGCCACATCGGAGTTCGGAAAATCAAGGCCATACTAGGAATCTTCCGCCTTAAAGGTTCTGGGGCCTGGCAGTTTTCTTTTTTCCTGTGCCCCTGCTGAATTTCATATTTTGCATCCACACCAAGAAATCCGCTGATTACAGAGTATTCTAATTTCAACTGTCTAGTGGTGGAGAGTGTAAAGCAAGGGGTTGAAAGCCGGACCACGCCCCTGGCCGGAGCGCGGTTAGCTTTCAAATGCTCGAAATATCAATCGATCGTAGGAGGACAAGAAAATTTGAGTTATAATTCGAGGACAGCCCTATTCACTTCTCTTGTTTATCCCTGGTGTATAGAACCCCCGTGCGCTTTGCCTTTGGGGTCAAAAGCTGATGACATGCATTGTTTATTTTATGACTGGCAGCCGCTTGTATCCCGTATCTGTGCCTCATCTATCCACCAGACCAGTCCCAGACGACAAAGATCCGTTGGAAGTTTTTTGAATTTTAGCGTAAGTTCTTTTCACTCTGCCTTGGGTGTCCATTCCAGTCCTTTATCACAGCGCGAACGCCCTGACATCATTTTCGCGGAAGACCTTTCAACATGTCTCGTACGATTCGGTCATCCACTGCAGTCTTGCAGAGGATCAAGACAGTCTATTGTAGTTCCGCATGCGGACGTCCTTTGATTGTTCCATTTCAATCATATACTAACGTCTGTTGACCAGCTTCGCGAGGGCTGAGATTCTTTTTGTAATCGCCACAATTTTCCGGGAACTTGACATGGACCCTTGCTAAAAGCAACCATCTACTTTTCGGGGTTTTTACTCTCTTGGTCCATCTACTACTCCGGTATGAAGTTGCTAGTCTGGGAAAAAATCTTCTTGAATAGTTATTCCGGTCATCCCCACAGGTGTCTGGCTTGGCACCCGCCAATCACACACCTGGACCCCCCGGGACCCTCACCCCCATGATGGCCGGCTCACACGTCGGAGACAGCCGTCACCAACTGGCTACTCAGCCCTCGCATTTACGAATGCATGAACTGCAATCTGTGGAGAAGGATCTTTGTCTAATAGAAACCATAGCATTGCACGTCCCAATACCCCATGGGAGGTCGCGGGAGCAAGCGAAAGCTTGCTCCCTGCCGGACGTTAATTAAATCTACCTACCTACCACAGGTGTCTGGTGCATATAGTCAAGATAAGGACTGGGAAACCGGAAAACAGAAGGCGGATAAAGACACCGTGTTCCGGAAGGGATGATCCATTCATTGCAAGTCATTACTTGATCTGGAGGGCTACCTTGAAGCCTTGTTGCCACGGCGTTGGTAATTCTTTGTGGGAGTCAAATACGAAAATGAAAAAGTCGCGGCAGAGGAAATCGGAAGACAAAAGCCCGACATACCATAGGCCCCTAAGCATAGCGGACGTCTACTACGTTGTCAGATGCGTTCGATAAACTCCATTGAGAATGGACACCTTACAGGGCACAGAATTGTTTCGTAATCTGCCAAAGTTGTTGTTCCATCGCGGTAGAGTCAGTTGAGCTCGTCTCGTAGCCTTCGTAGCTTGTCTGTGTATTTAAGTAGATGGAGGTTAAGTGCCGTCAAATTCCTCGCTGTCGTTTTTCCTACGGCCGGGATATAGGTGAAACCCTTCTCGACTCAAGTTAGACTCCTTCCCTTCTGGGGGAAGCCTCCTGTCTAGAAACGCATATAACAATGTGCGTTTAGGCACACTGGCCTCATCATTTATTGAGTTTCCACCAGCGCTTTGATAAGTAATGATCGATTTAGCTAGTTGCAGAGTTTCCACTTTCTGATCAATTGCCGGGCCAATGTGAGGTTTGAAACTCACAGCTACCCATAGTTGAAGCAGGTTCAACAAGGCGACAAACCAGCGAAACTTTTTAAATTAATATTAACTTTCAAAATTGCCTCAAAGGTCTTTGGCCACTACGGTATGAAACCGGAGTCATTCAAATGACGGAACGATTTGACCCATTGAATACTCCACAACCACGATGTCGTGTAGGCCATAAAAAGGCAGCGGGGTACCTCTCTCCTTCCATGCTCGCATTACTTTGCGCAGCTTATCAATCATTCTCCGGAGCATAGGTTTTGACTGTTGAATTCGCTGCTGAAAAAAGAACGGTTTCGTAGGTTGTCGACGTATCCGATGATGGCGGTGATTGACAGAGCCAAAAGCCGAGGCCGGTGCCTCAAACATGCCAGTCAAATGTAGCTATTTGTTCCTCGGTTTTTCTCGGGAGCACAGGATTTCATAGAACTCTGGGTCGATGATGTGTAGTTCAAAGGTCGACGGCTTCGGAATTGGTCGACCAGGGACGGACTAGTCATCGCCCAAAAATTTGTGCGCAAGAACAGAATTTGACAAGCAGCCAGCGCTTGTGTGTCCGCACGATACTGCCTGGATCGAAGCATCGAGCGTGCACGGGCATGGAAGATGCGGGGAGAGGGGGAAATCCTTGCTGATGAATCCTTGCTGATGACCAGTCTGTTCAGTTCTCAGTCGTTGAGATAACGCACAGGTGGGGATGCTGTGACTGTCCATATTGAAGACAAGCTGGAATATGGTCCGCATTGTGGCGGAGTGCCAGTCGCCAAAAGCCCAACATCTGCCGTGGGTTGAGATTGCGTGTTGACTCCCCAGCAAGGTGGCCATTTGTAACTTGTGGGTAAATCGACCATGCTGCCAAGCTGCCCACCGAGTAATTCAGGTTAGTCCGTGTTAACTGATTGTTGAAACACGACTGACCGATCAAGTTCACTGGGGTGATGAATACTCTCCTCACTACCCTTTTGAACACATTCATCGTCACTTCCGTCTTTCTTGGATCACGGAAGGCGCGGAGGAAATCCAGCTGCAGAAAGTTGGGACGTACACATTTTGGATTTGCCGGCCCAAAGAAAAAGGAAGTGAAATATGCTGAGCGTTCAAAAGCCAAAATTTGATCTGACCCTTGAACCAGGTACTGGGGCTTGAGACCAGGCCAATTTGACTGAAGTGCGACCGAGTCTGCGTCAACATCTTACTTACATAGGCAAGTAGAAAAATGAGTTCGCATGTAGTACTAGGGTATGAGATATGGCGGTTTCAGAAGATCTCCTTGTAGTATTGTAAACATGAATGTCAACTGGTGTCAAGTTGGAATTTCTCATGGTGGACCTTGTTGCCGTTGATTCTGCAAAGATCGCATGGTATCTACTGTGCTAACAGGCCGTTTGGGTTTTTTTTTTTTTTTTTTTTTTCAAGACCTGGACTCTCCGTTAGAAGGATCCGCCACCTAGATACAACAAATTTAAATAAATCAAGGAGTAGGTTTAGATTACAAAATGTAATGTTGTAAGGGGCTCCCTAAAACCTAGGCTGAAACTCGATTATAGTATTTAAATGAACCAGATTGTTATGTGTCCTAGGTTTTGGTTAGTTTTTGAAGACTTCGGTAGCACTGAAACCCAGCATTTATGTTGTACATGTAACTTTTGAACGGTCCGCCTAGTCAAAGGTACAACTGTGTGTGCGTGGCATGTTGCATATGGGTGGCGGGCCCTCCGTTTAGAGGGTCCGTAATTTAAAAAAAAATTTAGAAAAAAAAAAGCAAAGGGCCGACAAGTTGCTAACCACGCATTATGTGTAACCAGCACCAAGCATTCGCTTGCTCCAAGGGGGCTCAATAAGCCTTAGGCAGTAGATCTGTACCAAGTGCTTGGCAAAAGCCATTTTGGACATTTCCTGAGGCATCCATTGGAAGCAAACCCTGCAAACATCTCAGTAGCACTCTGAATTTTCAGGTGTGAATTTTCAGGTGTAATCACGTGAACAGTCGTCATTGTTGCCTGAATTCCGAGACAGCACAGTACAAGCCGAGGTTTTCCCGAAACCGGAAAAACTCTCAGTCCTCTGTACGAAGTACAACATACAACATATGTTGTAGCCGACGTACAACATAACTATAATGATCTTACCACCAAAACTGCTTGAATCCTATGAGCACTTGTGGTAATTGCGTACATGTTTCGCGGACATGTGTCTATGCGTACATTTATTCTGGGATTTTGATAGAGATGGTATGCAGGCTACAAATGAAGTTGTAGATGTGACTGGAAAATCTCTGTATGCGTGCAGAGAGAGAAACTACCTATGTTGTAGGTACAGGCACTACAACATAGCTAGACTGAAGTACTGGGAGCAAACAGAGAAGTCACATGACTTTCAACAGATTTAAATGATTTTTTTTTTTCAGATCGACTGTGATTCTAAGTAACTCTAATGAGTATTTTGCTTATTGAGGTGTGTACTCAATGCACGTTGGTACTTCCATACTCCGTACAACGTAGAGATGCTCAGAACTTTACAACCTCCAGGTCCCGTTCCTTCCTTTTCCGGGCGGTTCAACGCCACTTACCTAAAATAATTAAGATTCTTGACTCCACCCATGGATCTATTCTCGGAACCCCACCGAGCCCGTTCTTGGAAGCCTTTGCAGAAAATTCTTTGAACTTTCGACAATCTTGGAAACAAATATACAGTGGTGATAACCTCAGCTAGCTGCATTCAAATCCTACAATTGGATATAAGCCCCCTATTTGGTAGTCCAGCCATGTCCGAAATGGTCTCTCACAATACCTCTGCGGAACAAAACGATACCAAAACCTCTGCAAATGCGATCTCTGCAGAGTCGGATAATGCTTTCCAAGACACCAAGGAGGCCGATGCCGAGCAAAATCACGCAGACGCCTCCAACCCTGGGGAACTGAAACGCAAGCTGAAAAGCAGACATCTACAGATGATTGCGATCGGTAAGTCTTCGCTTTCTTGATCAAGATAGGTTACGGGACATGCTAACTTACTTTTGTCGCAGGCGGAACTATCGGCACAGGTATACTCTATTGCCTTCAAATCCTCGGCTTGAAAGATCACGAAATCTAACACCACTGTTGTAGGGCTCTTTATTTCTAGCGGCACTGCCATCGCCGAATCTGGTCCAGCGGGCGCGTTGATCGCCTACATCTTTGTCGGCTCCATTGTCTATTCTGTCATGAGCTCGTTGGGCGAAGTTGCAACTTTTATCCCAATCCCCGGTGCCTTCACGTCATATGCAGCCCGGCTGATCGACCCAAGCCTTGGATTCTCTATGGGCTGGATTTATTGGTTCAATTGGGCGTCCACATTTGCTGTCGAACTGACCGCCACCGGCACCATCATCCAATATTGGGATCCTAGTCTGAATATTGCCATATTCATCGGGGCGTTCTGGGTGTTTATCACGGCTATGAATTTTCTCCCCGTCAATTTTTACGGAGAGGTGGAGTTTTGGTTTTCCACAATTAAAGTGGCCACGGTTATCGGCTTCATCATTTTTGCCATTTGCATCGATGTCGGAGTTGGGGAGCAGGGCTATCTGGGCTTTCGTTACTGGAGCACGCCGGGGGCTTTTGCTACATATAGTTCCCATTTACCGGCATCGGTAGGCAAGTTCGTTGGTTTCTGGGCGGTGCTTATTCAAGCTGGATTCTCCTATCAAGGCACGGAGCTTGTCGGTGTGGCGGCTGGCGAAACCGAAAACCCACAAAAGACAGTTCCATCGGCTATCCGCAAGACGTTTGTTCGAATTCTCCTCTTCTTCGTCCTGACGATCTTCTTCATTGGGCTCGTTGTCCCCTATGACAACGGTCGACTCACTACCGCGACAACCAACGCATCATCCTCGCCTATGGTCATCGCGGCCGATTTGGCAGGAGTAAATGTTCTTCCAAGCTTGATCAATGCCGTGCTTCTGTCCGTGGTTTTATCAGCCGCAAACTCCAATGTGTATAGTGGCAGTCGAGTCCTGACTGGATTGGCCAATGAAGGATTTGCCCCAGCTTGTTTCGGCTGGGTTACCAAGCATGGTGTCCCCTATATTAGTGTGACTTTTACCGCTTTGTTTGGTCTGCTGGGTTTCATGAACGTTTCCAACGATGCTGGTCAAGTCTTCACGTGGCTCGTGAACCTTTCTAGCGTTGCAGGCTTTGTGACCTGGGCCTCGATCAACGCGTGTCATATTGCGTTCATGCGTGTATTGGCAAACCGCGGGATTTCTCGTGATACCCTTCCGTATAAGGCCATCTTGCAACCATACCTCGCTTGGTACGGTCTCTTCTTCAACATCCTTATCGCCCTCACCCAGGGCTTCACTTCTTTCATCCCACATTTCCGAGTGACAGATTTCTTTGTTGCCTACATCTGCCCCATCGTCTTTGTAGTGCTCTATGTCGGGCACAAGGTGATTTTCCGTCCATCATTTGTCCGTGCGGCCGATGCCGATATTGACACAGGGCGCTTGCATTACGAAAAGGAAGTCGATGCTCCTAAGCCATGGTACTGGAGAGTCTGGGGCTGGGTCACGAAGTAATATGGCACAATCATCAATTTCAATGTCTTGCAAGGGACCTGCGCATGTTGGATAGCGTATTTACAGTACCCAATTGTAAAAAAAAATTATTCCAAATACGACGAGCCGTATTCGTAATCTTGTTTTTCTTGTCCTCTATGCTCCTGTAAACTTGTACTGATGATATTTTAAGAGCACACCTTGCCTCGGATTTTGGGAAACATCCCTTGATCACAAAATGATCGGCCATGGTTGCTGTGCGTTACCACTGGTTTTTATATCCACTTTAAATACCGGGCCACAACGGAAAAGCCGCCTATCAATGCGGTTGCGCCGGTGCAAATGACGAGTGTCCCGTAGCCAGTTCCATATGCACCCAATGCGTGTCCTCGCCAGCTATCTCTCTTGAGAAGAGCCTCACTTAAGGGGCCACTTGCCACATTGCCTATCCCACGCCCTGTTTCCATGAATGGGAATATTACAGTCTCGTCTGCTAGTGGATTGGCCTTCTGCACCTCGTGGGACACCCCCGCCCACGTGGAAGAAAATCCACCCGCGAGGAGACCATAGGCAATGCAAAAGACGTATAACGGAGGGATAGTGGCGGCAAAGCCCCAAACAAAGAAGACCGCGATGACGGTACCGACAGTTGACATCAAGATGCAGGTGGTGATATGAAATCGGTCGGAAAGGAATCCCATGATGATAGATCCAAAAACTGAAAACAAATTGACGAGTATGACTGTGAGAGACGCCATGTAGTCGCTGGCACCGAGACTGCGCGCGTAAGTTGGAAGGTAGATGGTCGGCAGGAAGAACCCGATTGCTTCCAGAGTGTTGCCAAGCTGGTAAATTATGAAGACTTTGTTGTGCAAGAAGCGAAAATTTAGACGGTGGTACGCAATTTCTGTCGTACAAACTCTCGGTCGATGAAAGTAGAGAAAAGGCACAGCAAGAACGAACAATGCCACTGAGGATATTTGAAGTGTGGCTTCAATCCCATACTGGTTCAAAAGCCACTGGATAGCAAGTGGGAAGACTATCCCAGACACACCTGACCCGCCCTAATGAGATATATCAGTTTCAGTTCACCTTGCCGTAAGGAGCTCCCGGCTGCAGAATAGTTCATAACTCACCCAGACAATACCGAAGGCAAGCCCTTTTCGTTTATCAAACCACTCAGACATGAATAAGATAGTGGGAGTATAGGCAAAACAGCCACCAATTCCAAAGCCAATCCCTTGTGACAAAATAAGATGCGTGACGCTGGTGGAAAGGGAACTCAGTGCCAATGACAAACACATGATAACAACTCCAATGGTCGACACCCAGCGAGCAATCCCAGGCACTAAAATCATAAAAATGATTGCCAAGGGAGCAATCAGGTACGCGATACCCTGGGTTTTGTTTTAGCAAGGGAAGGGGGGCCTAGAATATGTTGACGACTAACCATGGCACAAGTCCCAATAACTGCGATGTTTTTTGAATCTTCAAATGGTTCATGTGTACTGTAGTAGTCTTGAAATATACCGAAGGCGAATGCGTAACCTACTCGCGTGTTAGTTTGGCTAACAATTC